CTCCCTCTCTCCTCCCTTCCTCTCTCCTCCCTCCCTCCTATCTCCCTCTCTCCTTCCTCTCTCCTCCCTTCCTCCCTCCCTCTCTCTCTCCTTCTCTCTTCTCTCCCTCCCTCTCTGCCTCCCTCCTCTCTCTCTCCTTTCCTCTTCTTTTCTCCCCTCTCCCTTCCCTCTCCTCCTCTCTCTTCTCTGCCAGGCAGCCACACCAGCTGCATAGGCAGGAACCCGGAGCCCAGCCCTCCTGCTCTCTGAAGAGCCAGACCCAGACACCTTCCTCAGGACCCACTGGCTCTGAACAGCAGACTTCTCCTAAGATCAGAGGTGGGGCCACATGCCGGGCGGCTGTGTTCACCCAAGCCCTCACCAGCACGCCGCCTCAACGCCCTGGGGTTATTCTGGAAGGAAAACTAAGAGGTCAACTCTGTTCCTTCCACCCCAAGCGAGTCAGTTCCTCTTAAGTCAGATTCAGTTCCTGCCTCCAAGGGAGGCCAGCACGTGCAGAAACAGGTGGAACTTCCCTCAGCTCCCTCCAGGCTCATCCCAGGGACCGCGCTCTGGCTGGGGCATCCCCTCTCTCCCCACCCCCACCCCGAGAAGCCAGTCCCATTCCTGGGAGACAGTATTTCTGAAAGCCTCCAGCCAGCCTCCTTCCTATCCCGTGGCCTAGCGAGGAGAGCGCCACCGGTTTGGGCTGACAGAAAAGCACAGAGGCAGGGCCCAGGCGCCTCCAGGCGAAGGCCTCCGCTCCCACCCCTGCGAGAGGAGGTGCGTCCACGACGGAATAAGCAGGTGGCCGGGTCGCCAACAATCCGGTCAGCCACAGTGCTTCTTCCCTGTAGGGTGTCTGGCCCCGTTCTTGCTGGGGATGGCGCTTGGGGACGCCACCATGTCTCCTCAGGGCCCACTGTGCACCCTGCTTGTGGTGCCCTTGTCACGGGAGCGGCCTGCTGACCCGGAGCACGTGTGGCCATGGCATCAACAACGAAGGACTGGAAAACTGCAACGCCAGAATGCAAGCCCAGGCGTGCGGCCAAGGAGGCCACGTTCTCAGCCACCGTGCCACCCTGCACGTCAGCTGGCTGGGCAAGCCTCCGTCTTGTTTTAGCAAGGACAAGACAGTCACTTAGTTTGCTTCAGTTAAAGCTCCAGGCAGTACCTGGCCCCTCACCAGACTGATAAAGAAAGTCTCAGAACCCCAGAGCCCTGCACGGCTCAGAAGTGCCATCGAGTACTAGGGGTGCGCCGAGGGTGCGCCGGGCCCGGCTCAGCCCAGCCAAGTCCCAGCAGGAAGGAACGTGTTCGCAACGAGAACATCCTGCAAAACACCCGGGGTGGGTGGGGGACACTCACGGTGCCAGACCTGGGCGAGGGGCCGTGGAGGGACCCTCAGGCAAGGGGCAAACACACCCATGGGTGTGGCCAGCTCCCTCTACCCGTCGGGATCTCCCCAGCAGAGGGATTGAAATGACTCAGGATCAGATCAAGGAGCCCAGGGCAGAATTCTGGGGTCCTACAAGGCCTGCAGGAGGCTCCCCAAGCGGGGCTCCAACTTGCAACCTGAAAAATCTAAGCCTTTATTACCATCATCTTCGCCATCATTGTTGCCACCGTCACGAGTTTGGGAAGAAGCGCCCAAGCATGGGACACGCAGGGATGGTTTCGCCAGTGCTGTGTGTCAGGGAGCTGCTACCTGCTGGGGCTGCTTCAGTCCCCTGGGGCACCACGAGACACGGTCATCCCCACCAGGAGCTGACCACTGGGTGGGGGAGCTGAGACAGGGGCAGGTCACACCCTGAATTCGCATGCACAAGAGGTTCTGCCTCGAGGTTCCTGCTTTCTAAGGCTCCACACTCCCAAACAATAAACACAGGTGCCCTCAGCACAGCCGCCCAGCTCCTCGTTCAGCGGATGCCACACAGCCCAACCTCGGTGTCCCGAGGCGGCCCCACTCTGAGCAGGGTGACGAGGCTGCCTGGAGAAGGAGCAGCTCCGTGGGCCCTCAGCTCTCCTGCCAGATTCCCCCACACAGGCATGGCCCGAACAGGGGCCTCCGCTCGCTCAGGAGTGCTGAGCTCTGGTTTGGCCTCCCTGTCAGATGGCCTCAAGCCACTAAGCCAGCTCCAGTCACCGCCAGGATCTCAGAGGTTACTGCTCTGTTCTTAGAGGCAGCAAAACCGCAGAGATGACTCAGAGGACGAAGAGCCCCTACCCCTGTCCTCTCCCACCACCCAGCTGCCTGAGGGGCCGTCACAGGGCAGGCTCTCCCGAGGGCCAGGACGCCCCGTCTGAGCAGGGCTGCAGGAACCATCAGGCTGGCCCCGGCCACACTTATGCCCGGCCAACCTCACCACCGAGAGTGGCCTGCCCCGTGCCCGCCCCAGCCCACGGCTCCTGCCTGCTCTCCTCGTGAGAACTGTTGTCCACTCTGGGCATCTGCCCCTTGGAGAGAAAACTTTGTTTTCTTCTTAAAAAAATGGTGGGCCGGGTGCAATGGCTCACGCTTGTAATCTCCTCACTTTGGGAGGCTAAGATGGGCAGATCACTTGAGGTCAGGAGTTTTGAGACCAGCCTGGTCAACATGGTGGAACCCCATCTCTACTAAAAATACAAAAATTAGCCTGGCATGGTGGTGGGAGCCTCTAATCTCAGCTACTCAGGAGGCTGAGGCAGGAGAATCGCTTGAACCCAGGAGACGGAGGTTGCCATGAGACAAGATCATGCCACTGTACTCCAGCCTGGGTGACAAAGCAAGGCTCAAAAAAAAAAAAGTAGTAAAATACACATAACATAAAACTTATCATTTTAACCATTTTTGGGTACACAGTTGAGTGGCATTAAGAACGTTCATACTATTATGCACCCATCACCACTGCCCAACTCCGGAACTTTCATCCTCTTAAACTGCAATTCCCACCCATTCATCTCTGGCTCAGCAGCCCCTCCCCCAGCCCCCGGCATCCCCCACTCCACCTTGTGCCTCTGTGAATCTGACCCCTCTAGGGACCTCGCGTGTATGTTCTTTTATGACTGGCTTGTTCCACTGAGCACAGCGTCCTCAGGGTCCATCCTCGCTGCAGGCCGTGCTGGGCTTGCCTTTTGTAAGGCTGAGGCCTGTTCCACTGCCGGCACGGACCACATCTTCTTGATCCCTTCGTCAGCTGACGGCCCCTTGGGCTGCCTCCTAGTATGGCTGTCGTGCTGCTGTGAACGTGGGTGTACAAACCTCTCCCGATCTTGCCTTCAGTTCTTCAGGGTACCTACCATTAGGAGGAGCGGCCGGATCATGTGGTGGTTCGAATCTTTTGAGGAGCGGGTACGCTGCTTTCCACAAAGGCTGTGCCATTGACCCTCCCACCAACAGTGCACAAGGGGGTCCACTTTGGTAATGACACCTTAATGGGAGCGGAGAGGTTGAAGAGCTGTCTTTAACCAAAATATCCACCAGGTGCCAACATGAACAAATCATTTGTTCTTACAAGCAGCAACGCGTGCCCTATCGCTAGAAGGTAATGAAGTCTTTTAGAGACCAGGAAATGGTTTGGCTGTGAGATTCTTCCAACTGCTTAATTTATAACCGGCTCAGAGAACCTGGCGGAGGACGGGTTAAGGATGGATGGTGCCGGCAGCCCCAGGCGGCGCTGAGACTTTCAATGACTGAGCCCGGCCACTGGGGAAGAGTCCTGAGGAGGGGGCAGACCACGGGGCCACCTGTGGCTGCCGCAGGGGAGGGGTCCTCTTCAGACGGAAGGCCGTTAGTTCTCTGCGGTGAGGTGGAATGCAGGAGTTGGCACCGCGCCCTCCTCTTTAAGATTTGAAACTTCCACAAGCCTAGAGGATGTGGCCTCTCAGGGAAGCCGCTCGGAAGGAGAGAGCTCCCAGAGAGATGAGAGAGGAAGGGGAAAAGTCAAGGTTTTTTCCTTCCAAATATTTTATTTAAATATTAAATTAAAAAACATACATCAACTAATCATTTGGCATACATTTCTCATGTTAATATAAGAGAGAAAATAATTCAGTTATGGTAAAAAAAAAAAAAAAAAACAAACTATGTACATCTCGATCAGATCACGTAGTGTCTTTAAATAGGCCATTGCCTCGCCGTCTGTATTACAGCACTGTCAAGAAATCTACAAAACACATAGCACACTCTTAAAAAAAACAAGAAAAACACGCCTTTAACATCCTCCAAAAGAGGTTCTACAGCAATAAGAAAAAACAAAAACCACTGTGAAAGTAAAGTGCTCGTCATTGCTTCAAAGGGGAAACGCACAATGGTTTCTGAGGCCTTTGATCTGTGGCATTAGAACAGAAGTCATTTTAAAAAGGGGAAGGGGTTTTGTGTTGGAATCAATTGTGCTACCTCTGTAAAAATGAAGGCAAGGGCCTGGCTGCCCCAAGATGGTCTGGATGCTCTCCCATCCCAAAGACTTCTTTATGAGCGAACAGGAGACTTTGGTGTTTTCTCTGCGGCAAGGCACCAGGTCTGCCCTCCAGACAGCCTCTCGTCCAGTCTTTGAAACAGCCACAGAGCAGCAGCAGCAGCAGGAATGGGGGCAGCCAGCTTCCCTGCGGCACAGCACAGGCACAGCCCCCGGTGGGCGCCGGCAGCGCAGGGATGCAGCCTCCTGCACTGGGCCCGCCTCCCTACCCTCAAGTAACTGGGTCAATCTTTGGCTTTTAAAAGTACCCGCCTTTCCCCTTTCTCAATGCCTCTGTTTAACACTGCAGGGTGTGAGAAGCCGAAGTAGCTGAAGGCACCTGGGCTGGGTTTGAGGGCGGGGACTGGACTCAGGGCGAGTGGGAGCAGCACTGCCTTTGTTGCCTTCCAGAGGCTTCTGGCTGGTGGAGCCCCACGGAGTCCACCTGCCAGAGGTGCGCCCGGACCTGCCAGGTAAGGGCTGCCCCTTCCTGCGGCCTCCACCCCAGTGCTGAGGGAGGGAAGGCCCTGGGGCTCCTTCCTCAACGCACACCTGTGCTGACAGGGACGCTTAACAACACGACTGAGGGAAGCTTAAACCTGGAACACAAACGTGTAGTACAAAATAGAACAAATAAGTAGTGTTTACCTGTCTCCCGTGTAGATACATGTACAGGATTTGCTTTAAAAAAAGAAACAAAAACTTGAAAACACTGACCTAAACCTCTCACTTTACCTTCCTTGAACAAAAGCCAAAGAAGAGCCCAGGTAGGGGCAGTCAGGGAGGTCGGGGGGTCCCGGCCCAGGCAGGCATGGCCCTGAGCCATGAGCCATGAACCCGTCTCCCAGCTGCCCAGCCCTGCAGTCAGCCACCATTATTGCACAACTTCACCCAAGTCAGGTGCTCTTGTTGGACCCCATCATGAAATGCATCAACGTCATCAGCAGCGGAAACGGGAGGTGCAGCAGGCAGAAGCTTCTGGGCTTCTGCAAGGGCGCCTGGGGGCTCAGGGCCAAGGGACCCTCAGGACAGAGTCCCCCACACTTTGAAGTCACATCTGCCCTCTTTGAGGTTCTTCCTGCGGTTCCTCCAAAGAGTCCTGGAAAACTAACTCTTGAGTAGTTTATAAAACTTCTCATCTAAAATGAGAACAACGTATCTTCCAGGTTTTGATTTCAGCGGAGAGAATTCCTAGAACCTGTAGGTGATCCTCGCCTGGGCTGACCACTTAGAGCTGCTTTAAAACCAATACATGAAGCGGAAAGTTCACAGTTTTCATTAAAGCATAAATCAGGAAGTGGAGAGTGTTAACTAAAGAAATGGATAGTAATCAATGCACGCGTGCACACGCGCGCGCACACACACACACACACACACAAGCGGACAACGATGCGCCCGCTCGTTTCTGTGGACGTCCGAGGTAATCATCTCAACCACAAGGAACCCAGAGAGAGGGGCTGAGATCCCCACACCACGGCACTGCAGATGTGTTCCCTCCACCCAGCTCCCCTCCTGCCCCCGCCCCCAAGACACGCCCCTCAATTATCTTTCTTCCTAAAGTTTCCAGTCCCTACTCAAAGTTGAGGTCACTCAGTGCAAGAAAAAAATAAAACAAAAATAAACTAAAAAGCCAAAACACCTAACGTATTGCTTATTTCGCTTCTAGAAAGTTCTTGGCTTTGAGTCCAGACATCTTCACCTACTCTGAAGTTATTGCTTGTAAGAGTCAGTGTCCACGCCAGGACGCAGGGCTGCCCTCACTGCACCAGGACAAAGGTCCCCAGGGGGCAGGGCGTCAGGTCCTCCATCTCACAGTCCCCCTGCAGCAGCCCCAGGGGCTCACAACCTGGGGCCAGCCTTGCCAGGCGTGGTGGGGGCGCAGCGGGGAGGGTGGTGGGGCCGGCACCAATGTGCAGGTGTGTGTCCAGGAGCTGCGCCGCCGAGGCCACTGGGGAGACGCCGGTCTGCAGGAGTGGGGGCTGCAGCAGCGGGAGCCCCGACATGAGGAGGGTGCTGGGGAGCGGGGCAGCCCCGGGGCCATCACAGGGGGCGATCACAAACTGGGCGGGGGCTGGCTGGG